TGGAGAGGATTAGAGGTCCTCCTGGAGTGGAAAGTGAAGAAAAGGGGTGTTTGTTGAAGAAGACTCGAGTACCTTGGCAGTAAAATAAAGGCTGAAAAAGATTAAAAGTCCCGTTGGTAAGGAAAACAAGGATCGAAAATAAGCATCGAGAAAGGATGAAATACGCTCTCTGTAATTCTTTCAGGGATCGAATTAGGAACTTGGACAGAATTCAAGCCTAATATAATATAAATTTAATAATATATTATCGAGCTATTATTAAGCGATTTAATTTAAGATTTGTGTATCGTGCTAAAGGAACGATAAACCACAGGTGGGCACGGTCTGCGGCGTGGGCATCGCGATGTTCGTAATCGGGATCCTGGCCGTCTACGTGGTGTACACAAACATTCGAGGCCCGCTACCGCCCAAGAACGCCCGGATCGAACGAGACACCAGCTTGAGGCGAGTGGGCAGCGACAGGGAGACACCTGTTCGCGTTCCGAGGCACTCGCGTACCCTGCAGAGAAGGGACAGCAACAGGAGCGTCAGGAGCAACATATCAGAGAAGAGCGTTTGAAGCGATCGCGCCGCGACGAGTAATTATCAACGATCGAATCGAAGGCTTCAGGAGATACATCGATCGTGGGAATTGTTTCGGGCGAGTTCGAATGCGGTTTCGATCGGTTCGATTCGGATCGGTTCGAGTGAATCCGAATCGATTCGTTTCGAATCGGTTCCGATTGACTCGACTCGAAATGCTCGCAATTTGCTCGATTCGGTTCGGTTCGAACTGGTTCGTAACAATTCCAGATGACTCGGTTCTGTTACGTTCGGATTCGATTCGATTCCAATTATCCAGGATTATTTCCAAGCGATTCCATTTCAATTTTTCCGTGTTTTTCTGAATTCGTATCCAGTCTGGCATCGATCACGTATGATTAGTAATCGTTTGAATCAGTTCCGATTGTTTTCAATTTCAAATTCGTTTCGTTTCGATTCGAACGAGTTCGATTACTTTCGGATCTGAACGCTTCCGTTTAATATTTCGGTGACTCTCGGTCCATTCGATTTAATTTACCTCGAACAAACGTCACGCCAACTTAGTCGCGTACTCGCCGGTGACTCGATTCGAGATCTCCATCGAGTCGATCATCTTTCCTGCGAAACTCGTACCTAGTCACGAAACTCTCATCTAGTCAAAGAATTCTCGAAACCGCAGACTTCCTCTCTCGATTCTCACGATTTCGTTAATGAGAATTCGAACCGTACACGGTTCCAACAGGATATATATATTTCTGTAAATAGATAGGTATATATACATATAAATATATATCTTCGAACAATAATTCACGAATCATGTCCCACAAAGAAAAAAACTTCTCGAAAGATGTGTAAAAAGATTTAAAAAAAAAAAAAAAAAAAAAAAAGATGTACCGTTTCCCTCCTTGGTAACCGAAAATTCCATACTCGCGTGCAAAGGTATCGCGCAATACGCAAGTATACGAGTATCTATACGGATATCAAGTACACGCGACGAACACATGTACGACAGCCACTCGACAAATTGAATAAACGCTATCTGTATCGAATACGACTTTTGCAAACGGGATAAGCGATAAATTTTTTTTTTGCGAAACGACGAAGCGCGAACGGTTTACACGTTGTAAACTCGATCGACGGGTTATCGATGAACGAACAATTTGTAAGCACGTTCGCACCGTCGGTCCCTCGTAATTTATGCGCATAATAGAAGTTCGCGATCGAAACGCGGCAAGAGATCGAGCTCGATTCCATTTCCGTCATCGGTTTCATTTTCTCGCGTCGGCCACGGCGCGCAACGAATGAAGAAAAACGAAGGTAAACAGAGAGAGAGAGAGAGAGAGAGAGAGAGAGAGAGAGAGAGAGAGAGA